TCAGCATTACTGATAAATAGATTAGTGTACGCTAAAGCCAAAGCTTTTGACTCCCAAAAAAACTGAATAATGCTCTACATTGAAGGTGAGCAATAACTACAACAATGTTCGAGCTCAGCAGTGGGTAGGTACATGTCATAATTTCATCATCACAGTAAAACAAACATTTTTGCACATCATCATTTATTATCACGTAGGTGAACATTGCAAAAAAAATACTATCACGTAAATGGTGTATATAACATTATCACAAAAACAGAGCAAGAAGCACTATCAACAGCATACAGGCTATTCATACAAGAGCTATTTACACTTAGGGTTTGAGACACACGTCTCATCCATATATATAGCAAATTTAAAAAAAAACACAAAAAAAACTTATAAACATTCAACGTGATAGGTGAAAGCAGATCGTGATCACCGCACGAGCAACGCATAATGACCTACATCCAACTAGTCTTCATCCCATTGAATTCCTCTTGCTGGAGCTTTGCGTCTTTTCACAGGAACTTCAGATACCGACTTCTGATTATGTTACACTTTTTGCTATTTTAGTCCTCAGCCTTTGGCGACGTATCGGTAATCAAACCAACTAACCTTGAATCTAGTTGGCTTCTGTTTGTTCTTGTCCATGACCAAGGACTAAATGATGAATCTACAGTTTTCAGTGAATGGAAACGAGACCACCCCGCGAATATTTAGGACAAACTGCACAGTCACTTCGTAGATCCTGGTCCTCACCATGTGCGAGACGAACGGACCTGCAGGTGCGCTAGCGTGCCAAAAGTGGTCCTTAAGGGGGCTGGGCGATAGTGATGCCCAGGTGCCGTCTCCATACTCAGCTGGCACAGTCGAATGGCTAATTGCACGCCTACCCATGGCCAAACGCGCTACATTTCCGCAGCTTCTCACTTCTGGTTCTTCTTTACCACTGAGTGCGTGTTTTGCTGTGCGGTCTCGGTATCGACGCAAATGTTGCACATGGAAACCATTCCCGTATACTTTTGAGCGCAGGAAAAGGCTGCTGCTCGGAAGCTGCGGACCCCTTCGTCTCGCCCATGGAAAGGATCGTCCTTGAAAGTGAGTTTACAGATTCCATTTGAGTCTAATAAGTATACAATACAAGAATCACCTCAATACATTTCAAGCATCTCTTCCATAATGAATGCCAGCCGACTGTGGTCTGAAGGGATCGTATTAAAGTAAGTACTGTCTCCAAGTGTAGCAATTACCGAACACAGCGGAGTTCGGAGAAAACGCTAACGTCTGCCACAGTGAAGCTCGTTCTGTACCAGGCAAGACTACAAGCAGCGGAAGCAAAGGAAATTTCCCTCATCACGCCCCTCCCCTCACACCGAACACGCGTAGTTCCTCATCCGTTAAACGAAAATCGCTTTATGCGCACTGGTGAAAAAATAACTTCGTTTAACTGTGAGAAATGATACATCTGCTGCGCGGCTCTTGGTTCAAGACAAGAAATCCCTGACGTACATGTGCTCCTACGCCTCAGTGTTTACTTCTGCATCTAATTAAGCCGAAGGAACAGGTGGACAGTGGGCGTCGACTCTCAAAGGTCAAAACAACGTTGGCTTGTATAAAGTTATTCGATCTTGGAAGGCTAGAAGAAATATAAGAACTATATACATCATGCCAAGATTGCAAGAAAGTCGAACATGAACTAGTCTTGCATATTTTTAGAAAACTTTACAGAATCATCCTTTACGCTATGTCCGGGGTAGGCGATCGTTTGTCCATTTGGTTAGCTGGTTCAAATCTCTGAACTATTGCCTAGTATGTTTTGAAGAGTTCTTGTCAAAAAGATCGCGGCAAGCGACATGCACCAGTGTTCGGATGTCGGCGCGTAATTACTCTTAGCTAGATTCTCTACAGACAAGGAATATCGTCCCTACTTTTTCATTCGCTGTTCCGTCGAACGCTACTACTGCTTTTTTTTGAATTTGCATACAGCCAACTGCCTACTAATATTTTTCAAACTGCATAGTGCCTGCCGGGGAATACATTTCTCCGGTGGTCAGTGTCCTTATTTGGTGATAATTGTAGTTCACTCCAGTCCCTACACACAATATCATGGCTCACCTTTGTTAGCTTTAAGGGCAATAGTTCGCTTCGTAGTGAAGGATATTACACAGCGGGAACTGGATATAGAGGAGATTGTGAAAAGCTTTTTGTCCATGCTTTCCCTGCAAAAGCGCTTCTAAGGAAACAATTCGCTGATGTCACATAAGATGACGAGATACCTCCATATAGAAGGGAGTATTGTTTCGCTGACGTTGACAAACTCCGCTCTTTCTTTTTCGCTTACAGCTAATTCATATACCTCATTGATACCGTTACACACACCTAAATTAGCAATAAGAAAGCCATCAAGTTGATTTCTTTACCACGAGAAATGCTTCAAAC